AAAATTTCTTTTTTTTTCTTTTTATCTATCTTACAATAAACTATCCTACAGCAGAAAAAAAAACAACTTTTTTTTTTGCTGTTGTTGCTAACAGTAGATGAAAGAAGAAGAAAAAAAAAACGTTTTAAAAATATCTGTATGCTATGATGAAATAAAAATTAAAGTCAAAGATTACCGTACATAAATCATCATACCTTCCATCTCTAATTCTTTGTTTGGATACCCAAAAGTAATCGTCAAACGAATCAAAACCAACAAAGAAACAAAAAAAAAAACAGCAGTAGTATGCTGCTGCATATTGGACACAGCCAGAAGACCGACCATATTTGTTGTTGTTGCTGTTGTTGTTGTTGTTGTTGTTGTTGTTCAAGGTTTATTGCAAATAACAAAAAACCGTTCAGGCAGACAATTTGTCGCCTTTTCCATCATTACCCCGTACTCAAATACCATCAAATCTTTCCATTTTTAACGACGCTTTTATATTAACAAACAGCAGTAGCAGCACCAGCAGCACCAACAGCACCAGCCAACGGTTACAGCATCAACAATATCCCAACATACCTAAATTCCTTTACCTCCTCCTCCCTCCTTATTTTTTTTTTCTTTTTAGTAATGTCATTCTCTACTTTTTGTTGTTACAATACATATCTGATGTCTCACTAAACATCCGTACAAAAAAATTCTTTTTTTTTTTTTTTGTTGTTTGCTTACTTACCATATAGGAATATGTTGTAGCGACAACCATTTAAAGATGTTATTCTGGTGTTGTAAGTTTTTGTGTCATCCTGTAAACCGATTAAACAATTCAAAAATTTTCTAGAAAACTAAACGATCAAATAATTAGTATTTGTAACTGTAACCGATTATTCAATATGCTGTTTTGATCATTAATTTTGTAGACGAAAAATTTATTGTAGACGTTTATACCGGTAGTCCAACTTTAAAGCTTCTCAAATAGGCAATTTTTTCAAATCTAATCCCAAATGTAAAATTTTTGTGTGTTTACACGTCAAACATAAAAAAAAATAATTTCATTTTTTTTTTATTTCGTCTCCTAATTAGACAATCATTTGACTGCAATGTACTTTTGTAATTTATTCTAAAACAACTAAACACTAATTTATTGAGGATATCAAATGTTTTATTCTCTTTTTTTTTTCACATTTTAAAAAAATCCTTCTTTTTTTATTCCTTCTCTTTTTTCACTCTTCAAAATTTAATTAAACAAATCCGGAATAAATTGTGCAGCTATAATCACAATGTAATTTTTACACTTTTTAATGATGGTTAGCAATAATAAACAACAAAAAAAAATTTCTTTACCCTGCATTTTTTTTAATAGTAAACAACAACAATAACTTCTCGAAAAGTTGTTAGCAAAGTGAAGGTCCTTATCACTATCCATACCAAAAAGAAAAAGTAAAATCAAGCAAAAAATTCATCGTCCAGTACCAGGATTTAAACCGCCAAACTTATTCAAATTACGGAATGCTGCCGACATATTTGGAAAACCAATATTAAAAGCATTGTACAATCCTTCAATACCAATGAACGGTACATCGAATGTAGAACCAGTAGAAACTTTTCCTTAAAAAAATTGTGTTTTGCGCCGTTTCTTCTAATTCTTCGACAACTCCAAATAGCAACCTTTTACTATAGTGATAATGTAAAAGTACTTTTAAACTGAAATTTTGTACAGATATTCATAAAAAACATTCCAACTACTCTCACCTTCTGGCCAATTGACAAGTGTTGTTTGAGTGCCACGATAGAAGGATATTCCATGTTTACGAGGTATATCGAATATTTGATGATTTCCTGCATATATTAATTGCTCGATTACTTTTCAGTGTTTCAAAATAAAAATGAAAAGAAGCTTCAAAACAATAGAATAAAAATGAAATACTGAAAGTTGTCTGCTTCATCTAAAAAATTTCTTGCAGTGACACGATTTGTGTAAAATATCAGCTAATACGGCATTTACACCCCATTTGCCATCGTAAAACAACAGTAACCACAGTTGGAACTGTTATTTGATATGACAGCGTATACACTGTTCATTTTAAATTTGAAAAGAGAAAAAAGTAAAAATGTTTTTTACCGACGCCGTCATAACCGTAAAATATTCCACGAACTACCGGAGGTGGTGAATAGAACCCATATGGGAATGGTGATAGGTCGGCTCGAGGCCTCCAAATCCGCTTGCACTTTGCATACCACATGAAACAGGTTAATCGTTAACGTAATAAACAATTTTGACTAAATAACTCCGTAACTGAGCGACAAAAATTTGAAAAAAAACTCCTTTACGTTTTTGAATGCTTATCAGTACGTGGCAATCTATCAAACAAAGTTCTTAAAACAATAATTACGGTAGATTTGTAGTGTCATCTAATCTCATACAGTACGAACAAATTAACATAAAGGAACCGTTGACAGTTTGGCAGTGCCGGAACCCGAGCGCCCGGACGACATTGACGATCCATAATCCACTGAAAATGCATGCATTCACAAGCCAGAACACAGAGTGGATCTGTCTCGCGACATGACGAATAGCAGTTAGTCAAAGCAATTTCTGCATGTCGTGGAAGACCCGATTGCTTCCAATATGCACGCTGACGTCGAATCTGCAAGAGCGGGCCACTTCAACAATTCGGTGTCTAATTAGGCAAATCATCCATTACAACAGTTCCAATCTTTACTAGACCAAGGAGAACATTGAAATTGAGAAGACGCTTTGGCATATCTAAATCATCAACAGTTTCCACTAATAAACCTGAGTGAGAGTACTGTTCCAAATCTTGTTGTTTGAATCATTCTGTTTAATGTCTTATTTACACTTTACCTGCAGATTATATATAAATACGTATACCCTGCCTGCAATAATGGGATACAGTATCTTTTGCTGACAAAAGAAAAGCAAGAAAAATTTAAATTTTTGATATTTTTTGAAAAAAAAATATAATAGAAATAAGTTGCTGTAGTTTAAAGCGCTTGCCTAAAAATGCTTCTTATACTGTCAGCCTATCTCCGTTTTTTTTTGTTTGCATGACTTTCTCGACCCTGTCCAATCGACCCTCAATGATCTCATATCTATATGTAAACTATAATATCGATAAATCAGTGTCGCAGCATTAACAAATTTAGGTGGATCTGCATGCACCGTGACGATTATAAACGGCAGAAACTTTTGTTTCCTAGCAATAGCATGTAGAAATTCATTTCTTGAAAAGATATGACCATTCAAAAGATGATTTTTCTAAGAAAAGTGTATTCAAACCTTACAAACTTATAAAACGTAGTCATTAACCGTCAAACAATGTGCCATTAATTGGCTGGTATTATGAAACACCATAGGGATTAGAAAGACGTTAGGCAAAGTCGATAACCCTGCATGTAAAAAAAGAAGATAAACTGAGGGTAAAAGATACAAGTTAGATGTTAACGCTTAATTGCAACAGTGCCGATGTAACAGATTGTGAGGAAACAGTCAAGCACTGATGCATTTGAAAACAGCACTTTTGGTCTACTAAAACCTTAAATTTAAGTGAGCAATTAAAAAGAAAAAAACGAAATGCATTTACGTTAAGATTAATCTGTTCATCCTCAGGAAAAAAA